CTTTACAGATCTCTTTATCTTTTATAGTACAAACTGTACAGATCTTCATCTTTTATATATACTTTATAATTGTTTTAGAGATTTAAAATGATTTGAATATTAATCTAGAAACGCATAGTGTTTTATATAGTATGTTTTATATATAAATGTATTGTAAAATAATTTAGAAATATTTTCTAATCATATTAGATCGTGGGCAAAAAAATTTGTCCTATGTTTATTAACAAAATAAATAAATGAATACAATATCTAAGCGACCTTTTTTAATCTTATCTTAATAATTCTAAAATTTTTAAATTTTAATTCAATACAATAATCATCCCACTTTCAAGAATATAAATTTGGTTCTGATTAAACGTTCAACCTCTTGAAATAATCTGAATTAATTTATATGAATCTAGAACATTTCTCATTTAATTTACATCATTTTGTCCTGATCTTAAAAGTGATTTGTGTTTAGTCAAATAAAATAGACTTCAACTTAACCTTATATGAAGACCTAAACATTCATTGTAATATTCAAAAAATATAGATTTATCATTAAAATAGATTTCTGTAATATTTCAACTTTTACTGCTTACAAAATCTTAGTACCCCATGGGAACTTATTTTTAATCGATCTGTAAACGTTTCCCAGGTACTCCCAGCAGCATCTTTCGATTTCCTTTGCTGCTGCCCGCATCTGTCACAAAAGTTTCCAGTTATTGGACTAGCTAGCGCTGGCCATTTATCAAATTCATAAAAATAATATTCAAGGGAGATTTGGAACTCCACGCCTGTCACGGCTTCTAATGCCACAGCCGACGCACACTTCACTCAGGTTTCTCCCTGAGCTGCAACAAGGCGCCATAAAAATCAACAAAAAATTCATTTAAATCAACATATATCTTAGCATCTTAGCAGAGGCTCCGCTCCTCCCCCCATGGCACTCGACACATTTGCTACTGTTTCATATTTTTCATGCTCATTATAGTATATGTATGGTGCGGAGTTTGGGGAGTGAGTGTGGGTGTCGCACACCCCATAATAAGTGAAGTTCCCACAGAGAAAAAGTAAAGAACTCTCTCAGCTAAAAATATATATGTGCATCTAACCGCAGGCACTAATTTGAGGTTGCAAAAGGTCTCACATATGCCGCTGCTACCTTGCTGCCGGATTGATTAAGGAGAGATGAGAGGGAGAGAAAAAAAAGGGAAGCAATCGCTCGATACAATAAAAATTAAAGTGTTTTAATGTGTAAATCGTGCGTTGGGGCATAAAAACGAAAGCCAAAACGCAACTAAAAATAAGGCACAAGGAAGCCCCAGTACAGACAGACGTCGACGGCTACCGATCTCAGCGATCGTGCCACACTAAACGGCATTTACCTTGATCCCCAGATCGAACTGGCGAATGGAAGCCAAAGTAACTCAGACGTTGGCTTTTGCGATTTGGGGCTGATATTGAACTTTGATTTTTTGTTATAGAATTTCAGTCGACGACGTTATACATTTTCTCAAGCCTGGACAACAGACTGCGTGTGTGTGTGTGTGTGTGTGTGTGATTGAGGCGATCGTCACGTTTGGCTCTGACCAGACGAAATGATCCACATTCAGCCACATGTATGAGTCCGACTGCCACTGCCACTGACGCCCATATGTGTGATGAGTCTCGTCTGTTTCGTTTCTCTGCTCTTTCATCAATTCTGCCAGCTCATGACTTTTATTGAGTTTTCTCGTGGGAAAAAGTTAGCCAAAAACTTTGCACTGCTTATGAAGCAAGAGCAGATCGCAACAGATCGTTTAGAGCACCGATTAGTGAATCCAGGGGGTTGTTACAGCAGCAGCCGTCGCACTCTTCGGCACTCTGGGCTTAACCACAACACTAATATAGTAATAATAATAATAATAAATGTGTGCATATATTTGCATATGTATACATACATATTCATACATGATTTAGCTAGATATCATAGGCAACAGCGGCGCTGTTTATTCAATTTGCGAAACTCTGGCCCCTTTTACGACTCGGACGAAGGGATTTGCACTCGAGCATTGGCCAGTGCGCCAGCTGAGTGCAGTCGGAGTGCTTGATTTGCACAATCAGGGTTGCCAGGCGGCGCAATAGCTTTTATGGTAGGTGCTTTAAAGTCTGGCTAACCGAGCGCTCGCTCGGCCAGCTGTCGTCAGCTGGCGCATGGCCCAAAAAGCGGGTTATTGACAATTTTCTTGCACTGCATTGTGTCCTAATCCAGCCAACATTGTAAAGCAATAAAAATCCTTGAGCCCTTGACGGCTTTTTTGGAGTGTTTGTTGCATGCGCATGCATTTATCATAAAACCGAGTGACTGATATCAGGTAAGCTTCGTAGGAACGACTAATGATTGACCCGTGACCAGGCCACAAAAATCGCAACCCCCTGAAGACATTCGGCCAACCGTCTTCAGGGGGGTTGCGATGCTGCCCGAAGTGTGTTAAGACAGCTGCCTGCCGGCCCAGCCAGGCGCAAGACAAGACATTCTGAAGGAATTTTTAATGAATTGCGCCTCATGATCAGCCCTGATTAAGGGGTGGCTAGCGAAAATTAATTCGCCAGCGTACCTGGATACTGCATACAAGGAAAACTGCCTTGTCCTTGAGACAGCTGACATTTATAGCTGAGAAATATGTATATCTGCGTGTAGTCAACATTGAAGAAAAATATGTCAAAAATCTATAAAATATTTAGAATAAGCATTTATAATTTACTAACTTTATTTGGCATGCCAAATATTATGTTGTTGCATTCTTCATTTATTTAAATTAAATTTGTACATAATTAAAAAATACTGTATTTAATTTTTAATTGAATAGAATTATTATAATTATTATTAATATTTTACTTGAGTTGAATTATAATATTTATTTATTTTAAACTATATTTTTATAATTTTTTGTTCACAATAATAGATTTAATTCCAATAAGTTTGCATTTATTTTTTATTTATTTAGCTAATATAAAATAAAAACTAACTTAGAATTAATCGCTAAGTATTAATGCCTTCGATTTAATACATTTTCATATTGTGCTCGTTTTCTTTGCAGACTTCAATGCATTCGACAACTCTTTTGAGTGATAAAGTCAATGCACACACACACACACACATACACATACGCTCGAGTGTATGAGCGTGTGCGTGTGAATTGACTCACTCACTTTGAGTCGCTTTGCGTTTGAGCGCGTTTCGTCTGCGCTGGAATTTCTCGTCTGGCTGCGTGTGTGCATAACTACCCCAAATGCGCTGCTGAGCGAACGAACGGGCGCTCTCATGGCTACCTGCGCCTGCGCTGTCGCTGTCGCTGTTGCCGTCGCTGTCGCTGCTCAGGTAAACGAGTCGCCTCGGACTCGTTTTGCCGTCGTCGCGCATCGTTTTTAGTCAACGCGCCAGCTCCGACGAGGATCAGTATCCTTTTGGCGTTCCGTGTGCGCGGTTGTCTGCCGCTCGTCCTGAAACGCAGCTACAAGAAAAATAACAAAACAAAACAGAACTCTGTGAACTCTCACCAATGAACTAAAGCAGAACGCGTAAAATTTGTTAAGTTTTTATCGGTTCGGACACTACAATAATAATTTTAATAAAAGAAAAGTACGTGCAATAATTTGTTGACACTTCAATTCGTACTTCAACCAAAGTTTTTATGTTGTGATTCATTTGGGTTGTGTGTGTGTGTGTGTACGTTCGTTTACTTCGACACAAACACTTGGATTAAATACTCGCAGCAATATTCCCTTGGATTATCAACTAAACAGAAATGGATTACAAAAACGATCTTAACTCTGACGACGACTTCGACTGCTCCAATGGCTACAGCGACAGCTTTGGCAGCAATGGGCGCATGTCCAATCCCAATGGCCTCTCCAAGGCGGAGCTGAGAAAAGTGAGTTTCAATTGGGCTGATAACAATTTCATAGGACTCTAAAAATCTGCATAGATCAGAGATAGTTTCAAAGTTGTTGAATGTGTAGAGAGTTTTCTATTATTCGTTGTACAAATTTTAGTCTTTTGTATGCTGATTTTAAAATCTTGAGCTTAGAATACATTTTTGTAATGTATTAAAAATTTTTTTTTTTAATTGTCAACCCTTTTAATAATGTAATGCATTTTATGCATTTTATGGTTTAAAATAATTTATTATATACTTATTAAAAATATGTTTTTTCAATTTTTAAAATATTTTACAAATAATATTAATACATTAAACTTTAAAAATTATATATAAATAAATGTAAAATTTATATGTTTACATTTTATAAATATATTTAAAATAATGATTTTGAAATTTTAAATAATTAGTAAATATGTATTACAATTTATGTGTTTACATTTTCTAATATGTATATTTAAAATAACGACCTTTATATTTTAAAATTATATTTTTTTTTTTTTTTTGGTTCAATTTCAAAATTTTATATATTTTTTTTACATTAAATTTAAATTTTTAAAATATGAATTTGTATATAAAAATTGTATTTTGTGTTAAAATAATTAATCATTTTCAAGAAATCTGTTTAATTCTTTAATTTAAATTACTTTGAATAATTAAATTATATTATATTACCTTAACTTCGCACAATATTTAATAACTTTATACTCATTTCTTTTGCAGACAAATAAACCCATTATGGAAAAACGGCGGCGCGCTCGCATCAATCACTGCTTGAACGAGCTCAAATCGCTGATCCTGGAGGCAATGAAGAAAGACGTAAGTATCCTTGGGAAATCACATAAAAAGAAAAAATATAAAAATCCAAATATGGGGCGAAACTTACTGATTTAGAAACTATGCTCGAGATTGGTGCACTTTCCTTATAAATGGTGTCATAAAACCCATAAATATCAGAAACTCGAAAATTTCAAGTGTCTGGCGTCGGCAAAAGTACAAAAGGATACAAGACTCCTACAACAGACAGACGCACAGACGCGCAGACATAAAACAAAACACAAAAAAGACAACAACAACAAAAAAAACGAACGAATCGAGTCAACAGTTTAATTGAGTATTAAATTTTATTGATGATCATTACAAGAGAGCGCCGACGATGACGCTGCCGATGATGGCGAGTCAGTCAGACCAAAAGTGTTAACAAGTCGAGAAATTACGCAGAAATCTCAGACAGCGAGACTGTAAACCTGTTTCCACAGGAGCCAACGGCGGATCCTGCTGTGAGAAAGACACACAAAAAAAGTAAAAAATATAAAACAACGAAGAATCGCATACAAAAAATATGAGATAGAAGCTAAGCGAAGACGCCGACGCCGACGCTGATGTCGATGCTGACGCCAACGCCGACGCCAGTGTAGCAGAATTCTGCAGGCAACGACCAAAAATCAAATAAGAAAGACATTGAAGAAAAAGCAAAAGTAAACAAAAGATGCAGACATGACAAGAAGACGGCGCACGGCAGCAGTGGTAAATGGCAAGAGGTAGTAGTAGGGGGGAGGAGAGGGCAGCTCAGCGAAGCGGGCGACCTGCGTGGGAAACTTTTGCAAAATATGCAGCCAGCGGGCAGCGACAGCGACAGCAGCAGAAGCAGAAGCCGAAGTTGAAGCAGAAGCCGAGGCAGCATAAACGAACGAAGACAGAAGAAGTGCCAAACAGATTGCGGCCACTCTCTTCACGTGTACCTGTCTGCCTCACTCGCGCTGCCCTCTCTCGCTCTCGCCCTGTCGCCCTCTCGTCAAGCTTAAGCGTCGCGCGGCTTTGGGGCGTGTGATATTCGCTGGAGTGGAGTGTAGAACAGCAACAGAGGTAGATTACAAATAGTTGGACATATGAGGCAAGAAACGTGCTTGAGCGTCTGCATCATTCACTTTTAATGCCCTGTAGCTGTAGACGGACAGCCAAAGGGGTAGATGCGCTGTGGAAGAAGATGAAAGTTTAAGCTACAAGCATTTATAATTCTTTACCTTAACTTTAACTTTCATCTTCTTCTACAACTCAAGTAGTATTTAAAGCTGTGAGCATATTGGCTTTATGCAATTTTTTCTAAATTGGTATCAGCTATAGATTAGATCATGTTTACTTGGAGTACAGGGTATTTGGAGTGCATGGCTGCCATTCGGCTGCCAGCTTACGTGTTTCACTTGTTTCCCATGCATTGAACTTGCTATAGGGCCTTGTGTCCGAGGGTCTCGGCCAGCCTCTGGCTCTGGCTCTGGCTCTGACTCTGCCGCTGGTCCTGGTCAATGCACGAAAACAATTAGCCGGGCGGCTTCTGCTTTAGAGTTGTTGTTATCCCCACTTTTAGCGCGTCTCAGCGTCTCAGTCTCGAGTGTAGCCCCAAAACGACACCCAACCAACCACTGCGAACGACATGAAGCTCATCATTATCTGTTCTGTTCTGTTCTGTTCCTTCCTGACCATTTTTAGCCGGCGCGACATACCAAGCTGGAGAAGGCCGACATACTCGAGATGACAGTGAAGCATTTGCAGTCGGTGCAGCGCCAGCAGCTGAACATGGCCATCCAGACGGATCCGGGCGTGGTGCACAAGTTCAAGACGGGCTTCGTCGAGTGCGCCGAGGAGGTGAATCGCTATGTCAGCCAGATGGAGGGCGTCGAGCCGGGCGTACGCCAGCGCCTGAGCGCCCATCTCAACAACTGCGCCAACAGCCTGGAGCAGATTGGCTCCATGAGCAACTTCAACAGCGGCTATCGAGGCCAACTACCGCCGACCATGTTTCCGGGTGCTACGGCTGCTGCTGCGGCGGCGGCGCCTCTCTTCCCGCCGCTGCCCCAGGACCTGAACAACAACAACAGCGGCAGCAACAGCAGCCGCGACGGCATCACGCCGGCAGCTCCGGCCATCCAGATGGGCGGCCTTCATCTGATACCCTCGCGCCTGCCGTCGGGCGAGTTTGCGCTGATCATGCCGAATACAGCGACAGCCGGGACTACGGCTCCAGCGCCGGCGCCCTTCGTCTGGCCACCGGGAGCAGCTGTGAATGCCGCCAGCGCAGCGCTAGCCAGCATTGCCAATCCCACGCATCTCAACGACTACGCCCAGAGCTTCAGGCTGAGCGCGTTCAACAAGCCCGCAGCGCCTGTCCAGACCCAGCTACAGGCAGCTGTAGCAGGAGTCGGAGCAGGAGCTGCAGTTGTGAGCGGCGCAGCCAAGAATACCGCCAGCAGTCCACCACTCAGCCCCATCTCGTCCATCTCCAGTCAGAGCCACGGCGACGAGTCGCGCGCTGCCTCCCCAGCGAGTGCTGCCCAGGCGGAGCTCCTGCTGGCCAAGCAGCACAGCTTTGCCGGCGTCTTCTCCACGCCGCCGCCCACCAGCGCCGAAACCTCGTTCAACAGCAGCGGCTCACTGAATCTGAGCGCCGCCAGCCACGACACCAGCGGCTCCCTGTGCAACAACAACAACAGCTCTCGGCTGCAGCAGCAGCAAGTCAGCTCCACCAGTGGCCAGGAGACGGGCAGCATGAAGCGGGAGCGGGAGCGCGAGGTGGAACCGGAGCGGGAGCAGGCCGATTCTAGCGATTGTTCGTTGTCGGACGAACCATCGTCTAAGAAATTCCTGGCCGCAGCCAGCGAGAAGTCCAGCTCCGCCTGGCGGCCCTGGTGACGCAGCAGGGGCTGTTCCCGAAATATTATTGTCTATGTCTTATGTTAAGTTTATCTCTCTCACTCTCCCATGTTTACTCTTGCTCTTGTCTCTCTTGTTAATTTATTTCCATTGCAATTTTCATTGATGTATTCGAGTTTTCAGTTAAGTTTTTCCAGTTTTCACGTTTCGATTTTCGATTATTTCAATTTTAAGTTCAGCTGTGATTTTTTAAAGCGTGTATATTTTGTGTAATTTTTTTGTATTTGTATTTGTATTTTATTATTAATATTATTATTATGCTTATTATTATTATTAATATAATTATTATGTATTTTAGCAACTTGGCATATTTCTTGTTTAGTATTAAATATTCTTTATCAAACTACAAACAATTGTCAGCATTTTTCACTAAGTTATGTAGATCTTAGCCTCAAGTCTTTCATGTTTTCCGCCTAGTTACGTAGAGGTTATTAATATTATAATTTTAGCATAAACTTTATGAAGTTTGAATGAGTGAACAAATAAACATGAAAAGTTAAAATAAAAAAAAACTTTATACATTTTATTTCTTTATTTATTATAAAACTTTTATTTTAACAAATAAAAACTGAAACCAAAATGCTTCAAAAAAGCTAAACAGAAAATGTTTTTATTACGGATTTACTACAATAATAAAAATATATCAAACATAAATTAAAATTTTTTAAATTAAAAAAGTTAAATATTTTATAATATATATTTGTAAAAAATATATATATATATATTTATATAAAGTATATTTATTATAAAGTATTTGATTAACAATTTTTAATTTTACCAAATTTTAATGTATAATTAATATATTCCTATTATTATTATTTTTATAAATTTTCAGTACCCCATTTAACCTTGACCCATTTGCATTTGAACCAAGCTGAACGGAAGCTAATACTTGCACAAGCTTCCGCTGATAATAAAATCTATTTTACGGAACTGACCTTCGCGTTCATTTTTGCAATGATTCAATGAATTGATAGAGCTGCTCGCTCTCTATATAAGCAGATCTGGTTTGATTTTACCGGCATCACACTTTCACAAGTTCGCACAAAAGTTATTGCAGCAGAGCACGCAGTGATCCTCAGGCGTGCCTCGATCTTCGATAAAGTTTTAAGTTGAAAACTCACTCGCGATCACCATGCTGGTGAAATTAGTCTTAGCTCAACTCGGGTTGTTCGGCTTACTATGCCTAGCACCGGCTCAGGCTCAGTATCGCGCCTCACCCAAGCTCGCTGGACCCGCTGCTCTCGCACACAACTCAGCTGATCCCATTCTCAACTCCCTGGATGTGGCCATGGATAAGATAAGTAATATCTATATACAAGCTCTGCTTTCCGGCACGCATACGCCCGAGTTGGAAATATCGCTGCGCGCTCTGGAACTAGAGCTGTACGAGCTGCTCGATCAGCTCTACAAGCAACATCGTCTGAAGGATTATATGAAATACGAGTCGGAAGTGTCGAAGCAAATGATTATCTACAATTTGCTAAAGGAACTCTTTGGCTATACGCAGCACATTGAGAAGTCATAGTAAAAGTGAATTCAAAAATTTCTGTTCAATAAATTTAAATTAGATTTACATCATTTCACTCTCTACTCATTTATATTTGTTGTTTTCCAATTTAAAACACTTCCGTAATGGCTTCCGCACAGGGAGCCTGTGTCCTGCGGCTGCCTTGCGTGTGGCTGTCGAGCGACACAGCGGACTCAACTCTCGCTTGGCAGTCCCTTCGAGCCGCGATCGCCTGCGATCCCTTCCCACACTCAATCATAACAGCGCGGCGTCGGCTGCTGTTACCCGATCTGCTGTGAGAACGAACAGAACTGAATTATCATAATTTTCATTTCCTTTTAGTGCTATTATCCTTTGGCAGTCTCCAAATACCGTTGCACTTGTTCGTCGTGTTCCCACCACACACACACACACACACACACACACACAGATTCTCGAGATCCTTTATCTCTCTGCTCGCCTCGCTGTTTGCTTTGTGGCTCGCAGGACCTGCGCCTGTGTTTGCATTGCACTTGTTCTGTTGAGCCTTTTTCTCTTTGTATGTGTTTGCTGTGATTTGATGCTGCGATCGTCTGTCTCTCTCTCTACATCGCTCTCTCTCTCTCTCTCCCTCTGTGGTCGTCGGCATGCCTATGTGAAATTCTTGTACATTTTGTTACGGTCGATCACTTTTGTTTTTACTTTTGATTTCGTTTCCCTGGGCCTGAGAATCTTTTTCATGCTGGCATTGAAATACGTTTGGCATAGCTCATGGCCAGAGAGTTGCATAAATTGTTGCCTCCAAGTGGGTTGCTATGCCAAATGCGCAGTTGCTGAGAAACTGGTTATATTGCGGAAAAATGAATAAAATAAAAAATCCAGGAAGAAATTATCTCTATTGTCCAGGAATTGTGGAATTTCTGGTTTAATTTGCGCACTGGAAACGTCTCGGCGCCACACAGAATACTCAGAATACCCTCCCCATAAACGAGTTCCTAATTCGCATATCCTTGGCATCTCTATCTCTAATCTATTTAATTGCAATTAACTTGGCAAACATTGTTGCAAACATTGTTTTTTCCCACACTTAATTTCGGTGTAAACCCAAGAAATCTCATTGGTATTATAATAGAGATATCCTTGCAAACAAACAAACAACAAAGTCATGCAGTGTTTAACAAGAATTCTCTCACACTCCCACACACAAACATACACACACACACACACACACACACACACAGTGAGGAACGCATTTAACATATACCGAATGCGATCCTTTTTGGCCACAGCAAAGGATGAAATGAATTTTACCGTCTACCTGTTTCGAAGCAAATTCAAATCGCTTGCATTTTTCACACGACCCAATGTGAAATGGCTGTGAATGGGCCCTGATAACCGTGATCGGGTCCTGTGCGTCCAACAAGTGCATCTGAAATGGAAATAAAGGAGCAGATATCAATAACCCACAGCAAATATGCGTGAGATAGCAGCAAGATTTCAGCTTTGCGTAATAGCTACATGCAAAGAAATCACTTCTGCGATCTGCCGAGAATATTTTCCCAGCCACCACAAGGCTCCATGGGGTCAATAGAGTCCTTCAGGTAAACGCCTATCAAATTTGAGACGGAAGTGCCCACGCGTCGCGCACTTGAAATATAGAAAAAAAAAAAAAAAAAAACAAAACGGGGGAAGTGAACACAAAAATCCTGAGTGGTTACAAATTCGAATATCACGCGTATGATTTGTGGCATATTACAGGAAACAAATTGCTGTCGATTTTCCATCCTAGTTTTCCTTTTTTTTGTTATGCGTAAAAAGGGAAAAGAAAAGGCTGCAGCGAGTAAAATTGAAAGTTACTTCCGCTTCATGCTGAGATTTTTGTGAGGGAACCCTTTGCATGCGCACCATATGGCAAGATTTGGTCGGAAGTTGAAAAGGAGTAAATAATTTGTAAATATATATTTTTATAGATAAGAAAATACTTAAAAATATAAAGTTTGATTGCATTTGTAGATATTGACAAAAGTTGTAAATGCAAAGGATTGGACAATAAATATTCTAAGAAATTAGTTAGCCAATTTATACGTCATTGATTCTTCTAAAATATACATCATATTACGTATATTTCAAAATAGGCGATTTATAATTAATGACGCCGACTATACAAATTACATCAATATTAGTGTTAAAACTAATACTAATATTAATAATATTTTGTATATGATATATCAGATTATTATAGGAATATATAATATGATATATTAATGTTAATATTTATTATATGTTATTATGATATA